AAATCCGATGTTGCTAGTTACTAGTGAATGAGAGGCGATAGCAAATGTAAGTTAGACAAAATAATTAATGCAAATTAATGACTTTGATTGTTTTCTTGTACTTTCTTGTACTTTGATTGTTTATCGAGCAGCTTAACTTGATTGGGCTTTGTCATCCGTTTTGATTCGATTATCCGCTTTGAGGTGAAACGCCGAAACGAGTGGAGAACAGGGTTGCGCCAGAGCCAAGTAAAATCCCAAATGCGAATGAATTACTAAAAGAAGGCAAACAGAAAGAAGCGCCACGAAGGTTAAGTCAGTTCAGGGTAAGTAAAAAGCCTATTTTGGAGATTTTTGCTCTGTTGCTTCTTGCAAGAAATGATTCTTGCTCTGTATGGTGGTTTGGATTATCACAGCAGTGAATTTTTCAGTCACGTGATTCAATACTGGAAAAACCATTTGTTGTTCTGTCACCAGATGCTCTTAAAGGAACGCTGAGAAGTGAGCTGGATGACATTAATGAGACATCTGAAGTAAGTTACGCCGCAATTTTCGATCTTTTTTTTAAAAACTGAACGATTTTGAAGAAGATTTAGATGACGCTGGCTGAATACTGTTTTACGTTTTAGAATATCGGGGGCGATGTTGCGCAATCGACGCAAAACGGCCAGACAGTGAACATTACAAAAAGGCGTCGTACACCGCGCAACCGAAATTCATGAACGCATTTCGTTCACTTCTTACACAGAACTGTAATTTCTCAATATTTCCATATGATTATTATCGTGTTTTTATCATTTCCATGTATTTAATCCATCCAACCTATTCGTGAAAGCAGGGGTTTTCACGTTAGTTCCATTTTAATTTTAAGACATCAAAAGCAGCAAGAATTTATTAAGGGGAAACAGTAGGTTGTTTGACAAGAAAAAAAAATTTGACTAAAAAATTGTGATTTTCGCATTTCCGGTATCAAATTCTGATTTGTAATTAATCAAATCCGGAAAGCTGACGATATCCCCTGTCATTTTACACTGTTTCTTCCTTTGTATGCTGTTAATTATTGACTGTTATTTGACCATTTCGCTTATTCTGTATTGTTTTTCTCTGTGCCAAACAGCAAGATTGAGAATTTTAAAGTGCTTGAGAGGAGCGAGCCGTTTGTTTGGAATTTTTGAAATTAGACGAATTTTTGAAATCACACGAATTCACTGCAAGCATTTTGTCATGCTTTGCATTGGTTCATTGCTCTTTTGTCGTGCTGTATGGTATAAACTTACTATTCCCTTAACGGTCTCACATCACTGCACAAATATACATTGATATGCCGTCCAGTTGTTGCTGTTTTTTATGCATTTTGTGCTGTGTAACAGCATTACAAAACGCATATTGTCGCGGGGTTGCCTGTGTATGTGTGTGTCCCACATTTTGTCCCGCACTTTCAACTCGAGAACCACAAAAGCTAGGCGGCTGAAATTTTGGTATAGTGCTCTATTTGTCTCGCACTTTCAACTCGGGAACCACAAAAGCTAGGCGGCTGAAATTTTGGTATAGTGTTCCTCGCCAGCGGGTGACGCGGCAAATTTAAATTCAGCCTTTCCGTACTCGCGGGTAACACGTACGGCCCCGTGAAATTTTCCTACGGGTAAATTAGTATCTCAGGGATCAAGGAGTCTAGCAGACTGAAATTTTGGGGTAATGACTTCCTGCCCACGCTCAACTTTGTTTATTCAAATTAAGCGTTCCCTCGCTCTTGAGTATCACCTACTGCCTCGTGAGAATTTTGGCGGGTAAACTATTAACTCCAGGATCACGGAAAGATATCCATTCTTCAAGGTTTCGAATTTAGCTTTAATGCGCTGGTGCGTTTTAACTGTGTTTCAATGTTTGAACTATTTTTGCAC